TTACAGTCTCTCTATATAAAACTCGTAACTCCCAAGTTTTTATCTATACCCTGGATTTCTCCTCAGAGGTTCAGACTCTTTTAGCCAACCACATACTTTACCTCCCCACTTAAATATCTAAGAGGCTTTCAAATGAATGAAAGCCTCTTCTGCCTTCCCTTAATCCTCTCCTACCTCAGCCTTACATACTTCATTAAATGGCAATTCCATTCTTCCAGTTGCTGAGACCAAACCGTTTGGGGTCACCTCAATGCTTCTTTCCCTCACGGCCAAATCCAATCTGTCAAAAAGTCCTGTCAACTCTACACTTACAACATATCCACAATCCAACCTTTTCTCAACACTTCCACCTCTAGCACTGGGGCTAGGCCCACAGCCTCTCTCACTTGGATTACTGCAATGGTATCCTTACTGGTCTCCCTGTTTTTCACTCTTTTGCCCATTTCAATCTATAGGCATATCTCAGAGATGTTGTGGGTTCGGCTCCAGTCCACCACAATAAAGCGAGAATCACAGCAAAGCAAGTTATAATCTTTTTGCTGGTGGAGGCTCGTCTTGCCTTCAATTTGTAAAAACCACAACATCTTAGCGATAAAACAAAGCATAATAAAATGAGGAATGCCTGTATTCTAGAAACATGGGCCAGAAAAATCTTTCTGAAGAATATATAAAATTACAGTCCTCCTCTGCTTGCCATTTCAATCAGAATGGAAGTTATGAGTGAGAAGAAACGTAGGAGGAGATGAAATCAGGATGAGCTTCTATGTGATCTGGATTCCTGCTCTCAGTTCTCTGACCTCATCTCCTGCTACTTTTCTCCTCACTCTCTTAACTCCACCCACACTAGCCTCTTGCTGTTCCTGACTCAGGGCCCCTGCATTTGCTTTTCCTTCCCCCTAGAATGCTCCTTTCTACACATCCACGTGGTTTACTTCCTCACCTCCTTCAGGTGTTCACTCAAATGTGGCCTTCTCAGGGAGGCCTTTCATAGCATCTTATCTAAAATTATAAATGACCCAAACTGCCAACAACTCCCAGGACCCCCTATCCTCTTTCGCTCCAGAGCAGTTATCACCATTTCTGCCTTAGCCCTTGCCTGTTTTGTTCACTGCTGCATCCTCCAAACACAGTGCCTGGCACGAAGGGCTCAATAAACATTTGTTGAATGAACTGAAAGAACAGAGGCCAGCATAATGGAGAATCTGAACAGCAGATTTGTCTAAATAAAGAGATCAAACAAAAACCGCTCTCCCCCTCTATTCCACACCAAGGTCCTAGGAGATCTAAAATACCAAAAAACTCAAGTTTCATAGATCTTAATTTCACATCTCTTCCCATGAACAACAAAGTATTATCATATTCTGCAGCTTCACAAAAAAGAAACAGCTCTGTGTATATTTATTTGTACTATTACTCCATTTAACCCAATAATAAACAGCACTAAATAAAATCCCCAGTGCAACTCTAGGTAGGCCCTACTTTTTTAATACCTCATAGGTTCATAAACTGTGCATTAATAATGATCAAATATGTGGAAGCCAACCTTTGAACATACACAATTAGGATGACTTTAAAATTCTGTGAAAAACTCCTAATTTTACCTCACTTTTTACATAGGAGAGTTGTAGCTTTTCATATGTGTTCTCTAGCTTTTTTTTCAATCTAAGCACAGATTTCACCTGGTTATGTCTAATAAGCAACTGAATGAAGCTATAGTTACCATTTTCAGCACAATTTCACTACATTTAGGAGACACAAACTTACTATTACTGGTACCTGGACTTCCATATTTTCTTTCCCACTTACTACTACAAAACATGGTTAAAAAACAATAAACAACCAAAGTTGCTGTACAACGATGACAATGTTGACTACACTGAACTGTATGGCAAACATGAGAGCACTGAACTTAGCTGATGCACAAAAGGCCAAATTCAGCATTCCAAGGCATTTTAGGAGTATTAATGTATGAATGTGTGTATTGTTTTACAAATCAGATACCAAAGTCAGCCTGAAATCATCTGTTGTTTGAATTACTGCAACAGCCTGCTTCCAGTTACCCTGTTTTCCCACCAACAGTGCAGTCACCTTACCAAGCATTTCCTAGATAAGGCCCAGGAAGTTTGTTAACTCCTTTATCTCTTTACCTTCATCGTACATAGAAACATCACCACCAGGCTAATACCATGAGGTACATGTCATTACTCCTATTTTAAAGATGTGGAAACAGATGATGAAAAGGGTTAGGTGACTGGATCAAGGTCACACAGCTACTACAGAATGGAGCGGGACCCGAACCCATTCTCAAGTAAGAAATGGTATGAAGCATAACACCAGTACTCAACAAATGTGAAGGATTACCAAATGGTACTGCCTGCTTACTTAAATTTTTTGTTAGTCATAGAACTTTTTTATTCTATGCTCATGACATTGACAATATTATTTGACAGGAGTAAGCAAATCATGTGGGGTTCATGTATTGTTCACCAGAAATCTACAAACTGTAACCTGTTCAGATGTCTCTCAAATTCTAAATTCTCAAATAAGAATTTAATCTGGAATTTGTATTCTTTTTTTAGTCAACACAACAACAACAAAAACACACACAAATGAACCTTTCATTAAATGATTATCTTCTACATTGTCCAAAGTTATCAAAACCACATTGATTGAAACTAATCTGAATCATCCTTCTCTCATATTAAAATAATGGCCCTGGACAGTTTGGCTCAAAGGTTAGAGCGTCATATGCAGACTGAGGGGTTCGGTTCCAATCAAGTGCAAGTACCTGGGTTGCAGGTTCTATCCATCCCCCGCATGCGGTAGGGGTCCTGCAGGAAGCAATAGATGGACATGTCTCTCTCTCTCTCTCTTCTCTCTCCCTCCACCCAGTCTCTCTAAAAAAAGCAATGGAAAAATATCCTCCAGTGAAGATTAACAAAAAAAGTAATAAACAAAATAAAATAAAAATGACCAGTTGTAGTGAAATATTAGAATTAAAATAAATAAAGTTATCTAAAGCCCAGTCCTGGTCATTAAGAAAGGGAAATTTCTCCCCCTTCTTGCTTGAAGGAAGCTGAGGCATTATTAGGAAGTCCCTAGCATTTATGAGATGGGAGAGAAAATAACCAGTTTTCATTCATGAATTATCATTCTGGCAAAAAAAAAAAGACTATTATTTTGCCAGGACAATGATAAGAAGTAGCATTTCACAAAGACTTTTCACATACTTTAGCTTACTGATGACCCTCATAACAGAAATGTGAGATGGAATTAACAACAATAAAAAGAATCCTCGCCCTGGCCGGTTTGGCTCAGCGGTTAGAGCGTCGGCCTGCGGTCCTGAGAGACCCGGGTTCGGTTCGGTTCCCGCTAAGGGCGCGTACCTCGGTTGCAGTTTGTCCCCGGCCCTGGTTGGTCGTGCGGGTGGCAGCCACTCGATGTGTCCCTTCACATCGATGTTTCTCTCTCTCTCTCTCTTCCTCTCTCTCCCTCCCACTCTATCTGTACAATAAATGGAAAAATATCCTCAGGTGAGGATAAAAAAAAAAAAAAAGAATCCTCATTTTCAGAAACTTAAGCTACAGGCTTTGGGGACACCTGCCAGAAGTCATAAAGCTACGAATTTGGGTCATCAAATTATCCGCTGCTTTCACTCTTTCCAGGTCATCTCTACTGCACAGCCCTCACTCCTTGACCAGGCCACCTGCTCCAAGACGACAGCCAGCTTGGACAGGGGAACCGCGGAAGGCAGCTGGGCTGTCAGCAGGAAAATGGGAGACAAAGATAGCCCTGGTTCCCTCGCTGGCCTCTTCTAAAGAAATGTTCCTAGGATGCCGCTACCCGCTCGAGCAGGGCTCTGAACTGGAGGGCTCAGGTGAGTTTTTCAGGGTGTGCACCGCTTCCGGTACCCCAATCACCTGCCACCACCTATAACTCAGGTGTCCACACTCCGCGGCCCAGAGAGAGAACATCTCAGCTCCTCTCCCGGCGGAGGTGGAGGAGGCCTTTGCCTCCGCCTCTGCGACTTACCTGTCGGGTCATAAGAGATTTGATTTTTTGCATGTCGGAACCGTGAGAGAGGCACCCTGCCGCAAGGAGCTAACAAATCACTCCGACCCACCAGCCGGCTGGCCCCGACACAGGGAAGCCATAGTGAGCGGTCACGTGAGGCCGCCGGGCTTTCCTTTCCCTGGGCATGCTGGGAACTGTAGTCTTCCGCCGGCGCCGCGCGCCCTGCGGGGCGGAGAGGACAGCGAGGCCCCGCCTGTCCCGGGCTACAGAACGCCGGGCGCTTCCGCTTACCCTGCAGACTTCCCTCTGAGCGTCCCCGGCGGTAGCCGTGTTCACCGCAGTAGCTCTGCTTGGACGAGGCGACAGCCTAACAGGTGACCAGACGTCAAGCGATAGGAACAAACACTGTCGGACCTATATAAACCGGACCGACACGACGCCCCAGGAGTGTGACGGGGAGGAAACCCCACCCGTTGTAGCGGGGCGTGGGGCTCGAGGAAGGCACTCTCGGGAGGTGGCCTGAGATCGGGGGCTCCGCAGGTGGCGCTGGGGTTGGAAGGGAAAGGTGTGGCACGCTGGCCAGCTTAGGGCTGTCGCTCCTGTCCTGGTTTCTCGTGCAAAAAGCCCTAAAACGGAAAGATTCAACCCCCACTTATCGTTTTACTACTAGCACAACCTAAACCAAGTCAAGAAGGAAAATATAAGTACAAACGTCACTTTAAAGTCCTCCTTTTTACTTCTAGCAGTTTAATTAAATTGGAGAGAGTCCTAGGGAAGTCGCTTGAGGCTTAATTTCAGAAAATAAAAACGTCCCAGTTATGAGAATACCACGAGAAAAGAAAAAAAGAAAAAGCAGCCCAGAGCTAACAGTTAATAGCAGCTAACATTTATTGAAAGCTTTCTACATGTCAAGAACTCTGCTAATAGCTTTACCTGTGTCCTATGATTTATCCACACCAGCATCCTCAGGGGTTGGCAACTGCTCTTCCCATTTCCAAGGTGAAGACAATGAGGTACGGAGAAGTTAAGTAACTTGCCCAACATCACAGCAGATGTGCCTGCAGAAGCTGAAGGTCTGGTTGGCCAGATGTTTCAGGTGAAGGTTTTACCTATAGGGTTGAAGAGTGAGTGGGGAAAGGGACCGCATACTAAACCTGACAAGCTCAGGAGAGGCCTGCATGACAGGCCCTACAAACTCAGAGACCAAAAGTAACCACATAGGATGGTCTGGACATAAAATTCCTGACTAAAAATAGATCGTGGGGTATAGTCACATCCTAGCTCTGCAGCTTCCTTGACAAAGGTCAGTCTTAACGTTAACTGAACCTGTCTATTGTCTTTCTGCATCTAAATAACATACCTCTGGAATGTCAGAGTGAACCCCTTTTCCAGACCCCGCAAGGCACATCCATCACACCAGAGCATGAGACCATAGAACGCCCTCATTGTTATCTTGGTCCCCAAATACCATGTCTATGTGCTATAAATGTTCGTTGTTAACTGTCCTATACCCACCAACTAAAAGGCTGTCTCTCTCCATTTTACTCTATATCAATTCTCAGAGATTTCCCTGCTCTGCTTTCTCCCATCCCCTTAATCCCCTTAAGCACTAGTGGATTTCATATAACTTCCCTTAGGTCTCCTCTTTTGATTCTAATATATAAAATAAGCTATTAAACTGCCATCCTCTGAAGCATTTTCTCAAGCCTTTGAGATTTTGCTTCTTGGCAATTGTTGTCAGTTTGGCTCGAATAAACCTCTAAACATTCTCTATATGTTTAGATGTTTCTTTAGATGGCACATGGTACCAATGATTTTTTTTAAAATTTCATTTATTTATATTTAGTGTTTATTAGGGGGGGGAAAGCCAGACCCATGGTTTCAAAAATATTTCTTAAGGCAACTTAAGAAAATGTTAAAATGGAACACACAAATGAAAAATACTAGATAAACAATAGTATGAGTGGTAGTCATTTATGGCAAAAATAAAAGTAGTTTGGAAATGACCGACGGTTGACCTCTCAGAGTCTTGTCTTATTAATTTTTACTAAGGAAATTGCAATGTTTGACCTAGGGTTTTTGTAAGGATAAAAGAGATGGGGCAAGTAAATGCAATTTATTAATTGTAAAGTATCTTAGAATTATGAGGAATTATAGTCATAATTCTGCCTGGTTCTCTGACCCAACAGAATAACCCTGTGCTTAAAAATTCCTTTTGAAATTTTATGTTGACCTACATGCTTCTCTGACTCTGTTCTTGCCAACAGTATAAAGAAATTCCAGTCATTTTAGGGCAGTGCTAGTGTCATCTTTCTACCTGCTCTAATCTTAATTGCCAGACAGTTCCCAGTGTGTGAAAGTCTTTAAGATTTAGAAGTTCCCGAAAGCATCAAAAGAGACAAACTGCTCATCATATTAGCATAAACTAAACTAAACATAAACTAAACCCAGTTCAGTAAACATTTGTTGATTGTTGGGCACAAGGCAGAAGGATACGAAGCGCTTTAATAAGATACAGTTGTGGTACTTGAGGAGTTTACCATTTTGTTGAAAAGTCTATATTAGGGGTGATCCAAATCCAGCAGTTTTCAAGCCTAAATGTTTATATTCACCCGAGGAATGTGCTGTTGTACTTACTTTTCTCTTTTGGTTTCTGTGTTTTAAAAATTCAGTGATTCTTATAGGCAGCCAGCTCTCCCCTTTCAAATCCATTCTTTATGAAATGGGAAAATGTATCTTCCTAAGCTGTTGAAGTCACACATTTTATTAGAAATTGATCCAGGACTAGAATGCAGATCCACACCCAGATCCATTTTTTAATGTGTTTTTATTCAGCGTATTTGGTATTTTTCTTACCAGCCAAATTTGGGAAAATGGTATTTTCTGTATCTATTTGACCCTGAAAAGGCAAGAAATCTTTAAAACTTTGTTTTGCTCTAATACTGTGCATTTTACTTCTTATAAACTAAAAAGAAATGGACAACTCCGGCTTCTGAAAGTTCAAAGGCTGTGACTGTAATATCAAAGACACATAAAGTAAATCAGTGTTGTTATCTAAATAAACTGTTTTCTAATTCAATATACCCTAACTCTATAGAAAATAATTGAGCCATACACAATGCATTTTTAACTGCCTGAAAACAAAACTACAGCTTTAAAGGGCATTTTTTTAAAAAAGGTGAAGCATGTTATTTCATTTCCACTTTTCAAAAATATGTATATAAGATTTACTTAGGAGATGCACACTTGCCTGAAGGCTCTTAGTGGTAGGCCAGAGCATAGTAGTGCAAAGTATGGGTGGCTTGCCAACAAGTCTTGAGGAAATTTTGCTGGACAATAGTTGTTTTATAAAGGAGTGCTGGCCCCATTTTTACAGATTGGAACATCAGGTCTAAGAGCTAAGTTGATCTGATTTGGGACATATTTCTTATAGTCCAAACGGAAGGGGCCTCTAGAAGCTTCAATTAAACTTGTGATCTTGGTTTGATGAAGAAGATACATTCCTAAGCATCCTGTAAATATCAAAGTACTGGAAAGATGTGACCTCTCTAAGATGATGTAACTACACTCCCTGAGCGAACAGTAGCAGAAAACAGAACACTTGCTGAAGATAAAACAGTGACCTGGAGAGGGACCCAGGAAGGAAGACATTGCTGCATAGTCATTTAGCAGCCATATCGGTAGACCTAGGTTTCTTGAAGGCAGCATTGTAGACATAACTGTAGAATTGAACACCAGCATAGGCATAGGTGGTTTCGATGGCCTCCTCTAGCAGCCAGCTCTTCCCTGTAAACTGGAATCTTTCCTAGGATTTATTTTATTACAACATAAGACAGTGCTTCCTTTCCCAGTTCTTCTTAGTCTCCACTGTTCTACTTAACTTTGTCATTTCATCACCTCGCCTTCCCAGTTGTTCCCATTAGAAAATATTCATATGCTATCAGTAAATAAAGAATGTGTATGTTTGGAATGAATGTAGCAGACTGCTTTATAAAGCAAGACCAGACTTACTTAGAATTTATTAAAACTTTCCAACCAACCACCATCTCATACCACACACACACACACACAACTCCCAGTGGCTCCTTGCATTGCTTGAAATTTAATCCATGGATATAACTTGCTTTAGATTCATCAGCTTTTTTGTTGTAAATGCAAATATAACTAAGATCAATAAACAGGCTCCTGAAAAAAAAGGCAGAGCAGAACTCCCCTGTGGGTTACAAGTGAAGTGTGAGATATTGATGGTGGGAAATTTCTTATAATCATAAAACACTTTAAACCACTTTTAACAATCATGTAAAAATTTACAATAGTTGAAGTTATATTTTAACATTACCTTTAAGGCTTCCTTTGTAAGCATCCTGAATTCAGAAATTATTCTAGCTGGTAAGATTTTATACCTACATCTGCTACTAGAGGGCGCTTTGTCATGATTATGCCAAGTAGCACTTTATGAAGCTGTTATACAGATATTGTTATTTTTAATATTTGTCATGATGTGAAAAGACTATGATCAGTTTGGGTATTTATGTACTAATTATTTATTGGAAATATTTATTTATAATTTATTTAAATAGCATCTATTATCACCTAAATCAGAAAAGAAAGGATATTTTTAAATACAACACAAAAGAAATGAAAAAACACAATAAAAATTACTCCTTTCGCCCTGGCCAGTTTGACTCAGCAGTTAGAGCATTGGCATGTAGACCAAAGAGTCATGGGTTCCATTCCGGTGAAGTGCACATACCTAGGTTGCAGTTCAGTCCCTGGCCCTGGTAGGGGTTATGTGGGAGGCAACTAATCCATGTGTCTCTCTCACATTGATGTTTCTCTCTCTCTCCCTCTCTCTCTCTCTCTTCCCCCCCCCCCCCTTTCCCTCCCTCCCTCCCACTCTATCTAAACATAAATGGAAAAATATCCTTGGGTGAGAATTTTTTTTTAAATTATTCCTTTAAATTGAGTAAATTTAACATTAGGAAATTTACTCACCACATTGTCTTTATTATAGGACTCAAAAAAGTCATCATGAGCCAGCACTGGAATTAAAACTGGAAAGAGCTTATTTAATAAAGAATAAAGGCAATTGCAGATTTATACTGATTTAAAAGATGTGAGGGGTAGTCCATGTGAAATCTATAGAATTTCCATATTACTTTCCAAATTGTATTTTGTGCAATGCAATATTAACATTTATATACATTTATTAAGCATGAACCGAGAATCAGAAGACATGGACTATAGAGCATTTGGGGTTTATTTCTGGGGGAACAAGTTAACAAAAATACTAGTTAAGCACTATGCTAGATGCTAAGGATTCATAAATAAATAACACTGGTGTGTATTCAAGGAGCCCAGAGGAAAAATAAACATGCAATAAAAGTAATCGAAGTTAATGAGATAAGGGCTGCAATCGACATATGTACAAGCCCAGAGAAAGTCGTGGTATAGTTATTACCTGGGGGGGAGCTCTTGCCATTTTTCTGAAGCATGGAGAGGTCACAAAGCGACCTCCAAAGAGGCTTCAAGTTTTCCAACAGTCACTCACTTCAGAAGCACTTCTGGAAGAGTTGGGAGCCTTAATGCAAAAAGTGTTTCAAATTTGGATTCCAAAATAAGTATAATTTCTTTCTTTTGTTTTTACCTTTAATTAATGCTTGAGGAATATTCTTTCTTCCCTATTATCATTGAACTTCTTCAGGGAGCCCTTACTGTGAAAAATAATTTGTGCAAGGAATTTTTGCTCAATTTGATGCAGATTTGGTTATACACTTTTTATCTTACATAGTGCAAGGCTTGGGCTAGAGCTTTCTTGCAAGAAATAAAATGCAATGAGGGTTAACTTATAACTTAGTAAATTAAGCGGAAATGTTCAGACTGCCTGCTGCCATGGCAGTGAAGAGGCCGGGCTGAAAAGCTGCGGCTCAGACACCACAGCCCTAGTAAGATCTTCTCTGGGCCATTGGTTCACTTCCTCTGTGCTTCAGCTGTGAAAATGTGGCCTCAGATATCATCTGCTGGCATAGGCTTTTCATCATAACCATATCAGCCCATAATTCAGTGTTACTTGGAAACACACCTGTGGTTTGTTTT